CGAGCCGCTGTTCCCGGGCTCCCGGCGGAGCCGCAGCGTGTGGGACGCCGTGCGCCTGGAGGTGGGCGGCCCCGACAGCTGCCCCGTGGTGCTGCACAGCTTCACGCAGCTCGACCCCGACCTGCCGCGCCTGGAGGTGGGTGAGCCAGCGCGGCCCAGGGAAGGGTGGGTGGGCGCCCAGCGTCCTGATCGTTCGGGAAGGAGGGTCCTGCAGAAATCCCCCTCCTTGCTCTAACCTCAGGGCAGCAAGGGGGACGTGGGGGCCGCCAGCGCAGCCGGTCCAGCAGTTTAGGGGCCAGAACTGGGTCTACTGGCCCCTCTACCCATCCCAGTGCCTGCCCTCACTGAGCCCAGGTGTGCCAGCCTCGTGCCCCTGCAGCCCAGAGAGACCTGACTCCGCGGGCTGTCATTGTCTGTTTACGTCTGCGAGCCCCCGACTGCAGGAGTGGGCCCTGTGGCACCCTCCGTGCCGGCCCCGGCTTGCACAGGCAGTTAGCTTCGCAATACAGGTGACGAACTAGTGGTTAGGGCGGCACACTCCTGGAATCCCCAGAGGTGGTTTGGACCACAGTGGCCTTCCAGACATTCCTTCTTTCGGGTCAGAGGTAGATCTGGTGTTCAGGGCTGCTCAGAGGAGGGGAGTGGGGGGGAAGCAGGCCTCCAACCTGTGGGGTCAGGTGTCCAGGCAGGGAGGTTGGGACAGGGACCTCCTGTGCCCGGAGGAGTGACTGACTCATTGCTGCTTGATTAGAAAATGCCCCAACACCAGCCCTGGCCTGGTAGTTCAGTTGGTTAGAGCGCTGTTCAGATACGCCAAGGTTTCAGGTTCGCTCCCTGGTCAGGGCGCATACAAGAATCAACAAATGATGCATAAATAAGTAGAGCAATAAATCCATGTTTCTCTCTATCTCTCCCTCCCTCCCTCTCTAAAGTCAATAAATAAAAAGTAAAAAAAAGGGAAAGGAAAATGTCCCAACACCTTAGATTTGAGAGGATTCAGAGAAGGGGAGATGTGCTTGTCACCAGCGGGGGTCAGGGACTTGTTTCCAGTGTGCTCTGTGCAGCGGAGTTCAGGGGGTCATGGAGTCATGCAGGCTGGGGGCAGTGATACCTTCCTTGAACTGCCTGACTGTGCACCTGACCCCTGCAGCAGAGACAGCAGACCCAGGGATTGAGCCCCTCACCCCACTCTGCCTGGGCATGGGGCCCGGTCGGAGGCCAGCCCTGGGTTGAGGGGCTCAGCACGTCAAAGCCGAACCAGAGCCTTAACAGTGAAGTTCCTGAGCCCCCTTGCTGGTTAGGGCCCCCTTGGTGTCCTGCACCCCCCCTTTATCATTTTAGGCCCTGGTGTGTTGTAATTGCTGGCAGTTTACAGCCTGGGTCTTATGTCTCTGTGTGTCCCCAGTACCTAGACAGGGCCTAGATGTATATTTGCCCAAGGATAAAGTGTGTCTCCATGCCTAGCATGGGGGGAGCTCTGGGGGGCACCCCGAGCCTGGGAGACCCTTTACTCCTGGGCTTGGCGTGTTCAGGACTCTCATCCACCCAAAGCTTTGGCTTTCATTGGCGCCTGGAGCAGGACCCCTGGGAGGCCTGACACCAGCCCAGCACTCATCTGACTTTCATTACATCTGGCAGCCAGTCGGGCTTTGTGTGCCGGGAGGGTCTAGCCTGCATGCTCACAGGGGCCAGGCAGGTTCCTGGCCAGGGTGGGGCCTGCTGCTTGGCCTCCCCCCCCCTCCCCCATGCATCCCTGAGGACCTGAGAGAGAGGCAGATATGAGCCCAACCCTTGCCCAGGGGTCGGCCTTGTCTCTGCCTCCCCTCCCCCCTTCCCTCCTCCTCTCCCTTTCTCTCCCTCTCCTGCTGCTGTTGTCCGGGCCTCAGCACTAACTAGATCCAGGCCATGGCCACTGTTTAGAATCAAAGGGGAAGCTTCTGGCTGGGGCAGGAAAACCAGGGTCCTGGCAGAAGAGGCCACTGCCGGAAACCAAACACAATGACCATTACCATGGGTCGGTGGAGGGGGCGGGGAAGTCCCTGTCCCTCCTGCCAACCCTCCCTCCCCATCCTGGGGCTGATTTCCTGGTCGCTGTAGTGTGCCAGAGCTGAGGCAGCCCTGCTTGTGGTCCCTGTCCTCTCTGGAAACCACCAGGCCGTTTCTGCCTTCCATCCCCCATTTCCCCTACAAGCCTCCACCCGTCCTTCCCTCTGGGCTGCCAGATGTCCTGTCACATCTGGGCATCTCCCCACTCGTCATCTTGATTCTGAGCCAAGCCACCACTGACCCAGCTCAGCCTGTGCGGTTCTGTGCTTCTGGAGTTCACCCGGCCTGTGCCCTGTCTCTGGGCAGGCCACTGCCTCACCCAGGCAGTTCTCCAGTCTGTAGCATCTACTGGATGCAGACACCACTCCATTCCAGCTGGCTTTGCCCAATACTCCAGAGCAGGTGCCAGGCCCAGTTTATAGGGGACTGGAGCTCCAAGAAGGGAAGTCCCTGATCTAAATGAACACACAGCCAAGAAGGATGCAGCCAGGATTTAAGCATGAGTTATGTTCTCCTGGGTGCCTGTGTGCAAGAGACCAGAGGGATCAGAGAAGGCTTGCTATCGAGGCAATTTTAAGTTCATGAGGAGGACATTGGAGCTGGGGTGGTGGTGGGGAAAAGAACCAGGCCCAGGCAGCCCAGAAGCCCCCTGGTCGAGTGAGGGATAGGGATGCTTATAGACCAGGGGAAGGCAAAGTGCTTTGGGCTAGAGCACACTGTGGGGAGCTTCCAGGAAGAAGATAGCCCACAGCTGGCCCCCCAAAGTTTTAAAATAATAGCTCATAGGAGCCAGAACTTTGTGGGAGGCCCTGTGTTGAGTAATTCCATGCCTTACATCATTTTGTGTTCAGGACTATCAACAGTCCATTTAACAGATGTAACAACTGAGGCACCAGAGATTAGATTGTACAGCCTCTCTAAGCGAGCAAATGGCAGAGGCAGGATCCTGACCCAGTGTGCCTACAAGGCCAAGTGTAGTCTATGGGTGGAACAGAATGTGGGAGGCTTCTCTGTTCTTGGGGTAGAGATACACAGCGGGGTCTCCTTCCACCCTCCCTGCCTCCTTCAGGCTCATCTGATCTCCTGACCCCACTGTATGCAGGTCTTCATTTCAACCTCCAGGGCCTTTGATCTGGAGGCCCCAGAAGCATGGCCTAAGGTGTAGGTCTGTCTGTCTGCCATCTGTAGAGCCCCTACAAACCCTCCGGTTCCCCTCTTGCTTTGCTCCTCGGGCTGCAGGAGAAGGGTGGGTACCTGGCTGGTTCTGGCTGCGAGATGCTTGAGCTTGCTGGGCTGTTTCCCTGGAGGCTCAGGGAAGGCCGCGCAGCAGGAGCGGGTGGTGGGGAGGTCAGCCCTAGGAGATGCTGGATGGCTTATGGGCAGGGCTGGGGTCCCATCCTCCGCCTGGAAGTTGGACATACCCAGGCCCCGTCTTCATTGGAATTGGTTTGGCCTCTGAGCGAGCCAGTGGGGGCGGTTTCAGGGGCTGCTGGCTGGCGGCCCAGACGGCTACCATGACGTGGCACCGTGCTATGGCCACCCTGTCCCAGGCTTGGGCCTCCAGCCTCACAGGCCCAGAAACACCATGTTCCTGGACACACAGCTCCAGTGAAGTGACTCCCCGATTCAGCTCTGAGGATCTGCCTGCTGCCGCCTGGAGCCTAGAGCAGGAGGCTGGCCCACGGCTGGGAGTGAGCAGAGCGTAGGGGAGCAGGGCGGGAGCGCCCAGCAAAGGGCTGGGAGTGGGGAATCTGGGTGCGGGTGTTGCTTTGGCATTTTCCTCTCCTGTCCAGGGAAGTGTTGGGTGCTTGCTCTGCAGTCAGGCCTGGAGGCGTAGTGTTGTTCTTTTGAACCGAGGGGCAGAGTTGAACGTGCTGGTGAGGAGCTTGGCTCTAGGGGGAAGAGCGGCTCTGGAATGCTGGCTCGGCCCTGCAGCCCTGGACCTGCTCCCGCTCCCTGAGCCTCAGTTCCCTCTTCTATAAAATGGACCTGGTGTCAGTTCCTCCATTTAGGGTTCTGGTGAGGAACGAGCGAGACAGGTGGCCTTACAGGTGGTCCCCATAGTGCCTGGCACAGCATCAGAGCCCGGTAGGTGGTGGCTGCCCAGTTGTGCTTCCTGACCAGGTTCCAGGGCAGTGCCCACACCCTGGGCTCCAGGTCAGTGTGGTGCTTCCTGGGTCTAGTTCTCGTAGCTGACCTCGGCGTGGGTGCCCTGGACACCCCCTTTCAGAGAGAGGTGCGGGTGCGGGGAGTTGGGCCTGGCCTCCCCGACTGGCTGTGTCACCTGAGGCAGTCCTTCCTGTCACTGGTCTCTTCTACCTCCCTATGACCAGGGGCTAGACTCTGTTCTGAGGCTGTGACCATGGCAGCCACCAGTATAGCAAGGCCCAGATGTGTCTCTATAGGACACTAGAGTCACAGGCCAGGCTTCAAGTCCCTGCCTCAGCTGCCGCTTCCTGGCTCGTGACCTGGGCAAGTGCCCCACCTGGCTCCTTCCTCATCCATCGGGGGGTGTTGGGAGGATTTAAATGTGGTGAGTGTGCCGAGGGCCTGGCACCCAGGAAGAGGCCACAGGTGCTAGACACTGTGGTCCACGGCGTTGGGACTGGACTTTCAACCAGCCCCACCCTACACCCTAGGGACCAGGCCACCCTCCTCCTTAGCCATCACCAGCCGTGACCCTCGTGGGCCTGGCCTCTGGTGGCCCACTGGCCAACAGTCAGGACCCGGCCCTGGACAGGCAGGAGGGAGGATGGGTGGTGGGCCAGGCCCGCCTGAAGGCTGGATCTCCCCTCCCCACTTGAGGCCACTTAGGGGCTGTCTGTGCCACTGGGCTCAGTGCAAGACACCTAGCTGCCACACCAGCAGGGTCACTCATATTTGGCATTGTCATCCTACCTGCCCTGGGCTTATAGTCTAAGAGATGTGCCAGGACTTGAGAAGCCCTGGTTCTCTTCTCAGCCTGGATCATCCTTTTGGCCTCAGTCTCCAGCTCTGTATAATGGGTACCTCGGCTTCCTGAGGGCTGAGCAGCCCTCTTGATCTGTCTCACATTTGAGCTCCTGTAACGGAACAAAAGGAGAAAAAGTCAGAGAGCTGCAGGGCTGGCTCCAACCCATAGACTTTAGGGTGACCTGGCCCCCCTCCAGGTTTCAGGAGCCTCTGGCAGGCCTTCCACAGGTTTCCTGGGAGTTTTTTAGTCGTCAGCTCTGGGCTGTGTGTGTGCCCCGTGTTTTACAGCAGCAGCATCAGGTCCTGCTTGCTGGGCACTTTCGTGTGCCAGGCGCCAGCCTGGGCTGCCAGCATTCTTAGGACTGCCGCTGTCATCATGTTAGAGAGATGCTCTTCTCATTTCACAGAAGCTCACTGAGGCCGAGGGCTGAGGGGCTCAGCAGAGCTGGAGTCAGAGCCCTTCGTGAGAGACTGTACTCGGGTCTGGTGGGCCCTGAAGAGGGGCCTCATGCGCCTAGGGCTGCAGGGGGCTGGTGGGAGTCAGGGCCTCGGGGCAGCCTCTGTGACCGGGTGGACCCAAGCAGCAGTTCAGAGTGGTGAGCTGATGCACACGGAGTCCCTGAGGCCGGAGCCACCCCTTCCCTGCCTGAGGGACCTGAATCTCTCCTGTGCAGGAGAGGAGACTGCAGTGTATGCCGGAGCCCCTCTCCTTTGGCCCCAGCCCTTGCCAGGTCTCCTGAGGAGGAGCCAGTCTGCAGCCAGGGGCATCTGTGGCCCCTAGTTGTCACTTCCACAGGAAATGTACATGAGCGGGAGCAGAGGGCTCATCAGGATGGGAGGTGGTGCAGTCATGAGCTGCTGCCGGGAAAGGTGGCTGGGCTGGGGAAAGGCCCTGTAGGTTCCATGAGGTCTGTCCCCAAATAAGGGGTGGGACCGCCCTGGCAAACCTTGACGGCATTTAGGCTTGGCCTGCAATCATTCGGAGACACAGCATCCTGCTGGCCTGCCACCCTGAGAAGGCTGATCCAGTGACATATTAACAGATGCCACCCAGGCCATTTCTCCTCCTTGTCCCCGGGGCTCTTGGCTGTACTCTGAGGGACAGTGGGGTGTGGGACACCCTGGGTGCCCATTCCCCTGGCCTCTGCTCACCAGGGCCTGGGGCACCCCACCACCCTCACTCCACTTGACCCAGGTGGTGAAAGGCCAGGCAGTGTAGGTGATGCACAGCTACTTACTGGGTCCCAGAGCCCTGGGGACGTCAGCAGGTGCCTGCTTTGGGTGGGACAGGAGGCTCTGTCCCCTGAGGACATAGTATCCATGGGACATTCTTTTCTCCCTAACAGCTCAGTGCTGCCCAAGGACGCTTGCCCTCAGGACATCTGTTTGCTGGGCCAGCCCCCTCCTCCCCCAAGGGCTCCCAGCCCCTGCCCAAGTGTCCTTGGGGCCTGCTGCCCACATGACTGCTGCTCCTGGGCTGTAGGGCAGCCTGCTCTGCTAACATGGTGGCCCAGGGTCATTTGTGGACACCAGGGCCCTGCTCTTCCTGCCTCAGAGGATCCTGGGGGCGGATGCCTGGGCTATTGGCGGCTTTCCTTCTCTGTCCCTGGCAAGGGGGTGAGAGCAGGGAGCAGATGCCCCACTCTGCCACTCTCTGTCCGGGACCCGGGAACTCGCTCTAGAGTCTGCCCCAGTCATCTCTCGGTAGATGGTTTAAATGGTGCCTGCGTTCAGAACTGCGGTAATGGCCTGGGTTTGTTCCTGTGTCTGCTGCGTGAGGGAACCAGGGAGGCAGGGTTAGCTCCGCTTGGGCTAGAGCAGCTCCCCATCTGTGCGACAGGGCAGTGACTCCCCTAGCCCAGCCTGTGTGGCTCAGCATCCAGCCCTGCCCCCCAACCGGCTGGCAGAGGGGGCCCCTCCGGGGTGGGGGAAGGGCTCAGGGATCACATGACACCCAGGCAGGGCCGGCCAGCTGTTCACAGCCAGCGAGGCCCATGGCTCACTGCGGAGCCGCTATTTAGACCTGAGGCGCTGGCCCCGCCCATGGGTTAGCCTGGCCCGGAGCACTCCGTCCAGCAGGCCTGGATGGAGGCCAGTGGGAGCCAGGTGCTGTGTGGGCTCCCAGGGGGTTCAAGTCCAACGCCCTCTGACAGGCAGGTCCTGCATCAGGTCCAGCCAGACTGCTGCCAGGGACTCGGGCACTCAGGACGCTGTTTGGCTCCCAGCTGGGCCAGATGTGGCTGAAATCCCCAGGAGAGGGACAGGGCTTTGTGGGAGGCTGTCTCTGGGACCTTTGAGGAGATGTGGGGGTGGCCAGGGCCCTGGCTGGGATGGGGCACGGCGGGGCTAACAGGCCCCTGAAGCCCGTTGTCTGCACCCCCCTTATGAGGGGCTCTTCCAGGCAGGGAGGGGGTGTGAGGCGGGGACAGTTGCATCTGTTTCTGTTTTTCTGCTCCGGGAGGAGGAATTCCCCTCCTCGGTGGAAAGGCTGGACCTCCCCCAGCGTGGGCTGTTTGGGGTGTGTGGGTGTGGGAGGTGCTGCTGGGTGGGGGACCTCTGCTGTGGGTTCCCTGCTGACTTCCAAGAAACGGCTGGCTTTCTCCCTGGAGGAGGCAGTGGCGAAGGGTCAGGAGCCTGGTGTGATTGCAGCGGCTTTCCCGTTGGTACAATGCCTGGAGTGGGAGGGCGGCCTTGGGTCAGAGGAAGTGGACTTCCAGAGGATGGCTCCCGGGCCTCCCAGAGTTCTCTGGGGTGGTCAGGAAGTAAGAGGCCCAGGCCCCCCAGGCCCTGACATCTTGGGGTACAGTACAGGATGCTGGCATCTGGTTCCTGCCCAGGGGCCCCACTCAGGCCGAGGGCTTTAGGGAAGGGCTGTCAGTGTGGCTCAGGCTGAGTCAGCACTTTTCAGTGGCCTCCTCTGAGCTCCACATGCACCCTGGCGGGGCAGTGACCTGTGCATGGTCCCAGCTACTGGCATTTACCATGTGATTGATGGCCATGTGCCCACTAGCACCTCCCAGCAGCTCCTGAGCTCTCAGAGGTAGGCATCTTTACTCCTAGGCCCCCTCCTGCTACAAGCTCACCCTTCCCTGGACAGGGCCAGCTGGGAGGGGGCTGTGAAGCCCAGGGAGGCCCTGACTCAGTGGCCTTGTCTGGGCCTTGATGACACAGCCCCCAGGCTAGCCTGCCCAGTGCTACGGGGCCTCTGCCTCCGAAAACAAGGGCCTTTCCTTTCTGTCCGGGGTCCAGGTTTTAGCCAGATGACCCCTCTTCCTGACCCAGCCAAAGTCTCATGGCTTTGGGGTCCCGTGGAACCCCAGCTGTCAGCCTGCAAGTCAGCATTTCATCTTTCTCACCCTGTCCCCACGCACGTGATGACACACAGGGAACTGGGAACTCCTCTGTTGCCCAAGAAGGCACAAGGCTATGAATGAGCAGAAAGGGAAGGAAGTGGCCTCACATGTGGCCTCGAGGATGCCCCACACCTGCCCCAGACCCACAGTGCTGACTCCAGTGCTGGGCCAGGAGGAGCTGCCACCCCTGCTGGCTCAGTTGGGGGGCCAGGGGCAGGCTTGGCAGAGGAAGGATGGAGGTGAGGGCTGCTATATCTGCCTGGGTGCAGTTGGCTGTCAGGGCCTAGGGTTCCTGGTCTGCCACTTATCTGCAGCAGCATGACTTTGGACAGGTTGCTCTCCTCTCAGCCTCCATGTACTCATCTGTGAAATGACCAAGTAACAGTACTTGTCTTGTGGGGAGGGCACCCTGGGCAGGAGCAGGTTGTTGGGGGTTTGGAAGGCCGGTGGGCTCATCTCCATACCCAGCTCATGACTGGCAGGATGGAAGGGGTTCACCCTGGGCAGTGCCCACCTGCCCTGATACTAATTCCATCCTCGAACTGTCATCCTGTTTCATTCGGGACTGGAGGGCTGTGTGGCCACTGGTCTGGACCACATCTGGGGAAGGGAGGTTGCCCGGGGCGCCCCTGCAGCGTCGCCGGGCAGGGCCCTGACGCCCGCCTGGCGGCCCCGCGCTGTCTTTACAGAGCTCCACGCAGGAGATCGGCGAGGAGCTGGTCAACGGGGTCGTCTACTCCATCTCCCTGCGCAAGGTGCAGGTGCACCACGGCACCAACAAGGGCCAGCGCTGGCTCGGGGTGAGTGTGGGTGGAGGGGCTGCCACAGCCACAGCCCTGAGAAGGCCGCGGGTTCCAGATGCCACCCTGCTGACTGCACCCTGCTTCCTTCCAGGACTTTCCTGCCCATGGGCCCCACAGTCCTGCTCCCAAAGGAATCCGTTCTCCCCTACCCGCCCCCACCGTCCAGCCCTGGACTTGGCCGAGCACAAGTGCAGAGTCTGTTCACATATTCGTGTGAATATCAGAAAGGATGCTCTTACACCGTTTCCACTTCATGCTAGCTTGGGAGCATTCGTGCATCTGGCCCCAGTGTTTCCTGTTTTGGCTGCTGTCCCTGCTGTCCCTTGGAGCTTTCCTTTGGCTGTCCTTCCGCACCTCTGGGCCTTAACATCACCACACTTAGTAGGAAGGGCTGCTTTCACCCCAGAAAGGGCGGGGGCCCAGGCTGCTCTACACTGTTGTCTGTAACTTGCTCTCTCGCTGAGCACAGCCCCTTGGCCCCTGCAGCCCAGAGGTGAGCCCTGACATTCCAGAAGGGAGGCAGTTACCATGGGGACTCAGCCCCTCAGGGCCTGGGGCCTGGCACCGCGCTGCCCTGAATGTCCTGTGTGCCCTGGTGTGCTGCTTCCTCCCACCCTGACAAGCCTGTTTCCTTGCCTCTTGAATGCCAGGGCTCTCGGGGGTAATGCTCTTACCACAGGGAAGTGCTGTCTTTCCTCAGCTGGCTGACCACCTGCAGATGTTAGTATTTCTTGTCCTCCCCCTCCTCAGATCTACTTTTAAACCTGAGAACCTTCTTCTGCTGGGGACACTCATGCCCCATCTCCTGCCAACAGTCACCGAGCACTTGGGTGTCCATCTGAGCTCCAGGCCCCCCCTTTTGGTGGTCCCTGCCGCAGCCACTGACCATATGTCCCTCCTTCATCCCGCCCCAGTGTGAAAATGAGTCAGCCCTGAACCTGTACGAGACCTGCAAGGTGCGGACGGTGAAGGCAGGCACGCTGGAGAAGCTGGTGGAGCACCTGGTGCCAGCCTTCCAGGGCAGCGACCTCTCCTACGTCACCATCTTCCTGTGCACCTACCGGACCTTCACCACCACCCAGCAGGTCCTGGACCTTCTGTTCAAAAGGTGAGCTCCCCACCCCCTACTGCTGTGTCTCGGGAATACCACTTCACCTCTCTGAGCCTCAGTTTGCTCATGTGAAAACTGGGGTGCTAAGAGGACGACCTCCCAGGGTTGTCAGGACTGTGGGGAGGGGCTGCCCACTTCTACTTTTCCTCTCCCGCCCGAAGCAGCTCTCTGCCTCAAGCCTCGCCGCCCTGTGCCCTGGGGTGGAACGGTCTTCCCATCTGAACAGAGGTCCCAGATTCTATCTGGGGTCCCCCCTATGAGTGGCCAGCGCAGGGGCCCCTGGGGGCTGTCTGGGAGCCCCAGACCCACTCAGATAACTGTAAGGTGCCAGTTGGGGTTCATTCATTCCACTAATGTATGTGAAGCTGCTTCTGTGTGCGGGCACTTTTCTGGGCATGGGACATAATTCAGTGAAAAAAGAAACAAAAAACCCTGCCCTCCGGGCCTCCGTCGCAGTGGGGGGCGGGGCAGCCAATGCCACAAGACATTATAGCAGGTAGGGTAGATGTGACGCCCTCACTGCCTCCTCTAGATACGGGTGCATCCTCCCCTATGCCCACGAGGACGGCGGACCCCAGGACCACCTGAGAAAGTGAGTGGACTTCTGGGCTGGTGGGAGGGCCTCCTGTCTCTGCGGTGGGACATTTGGGGGCTGAGGCTGGGGGTTTGGGCAGAACCCTGGCCCCCACACATTTTGCAATTCTGCTTCTCTGGGGCCTGTAGCTTTTCCTGCAGGAGGAAAGGCATCGGAGCTGTGGATGGGGCCAGGTCTCCTGGGGGCAGAGTGAGGCTGGGGACTCAGAGCTAGCCCTGGAGAGGACCCGTCCCCACCACAGCCTGCCCCAGTCCCGCTTGCCCTGTCCCTAGCCTGGTGCCCTGCTTACACGCCGGCCCCACCTCAGTCCTCCAAGCGCAGCCGCATATGGGGCCTCTGCGGCTGAGCCTAATTTCCCGGAACAGTATCAGAGGGAACACGAGGCCCACGCACGTCACAGAATAGGGCAGCATGTTGGGCATGAGCTGAGGCTGTGGACGAGGGCCCATGAAGGCTAGGCAGGACACACTCTGCTGGTCCCCTCCTCCCTCAAATGTTTAAGCGGCACCTACTGTGTGCCATTCTGTGCCATGATCAGAGCAGGCCAGCCCCTCCCTGGCCTCATGGAGCTTACAGTCCAGTGGGGAAGGACCAGAGACAGACAAAGGGGGTATGTCAGGCTTCCCCAAGGCAGGAAGGTGGTCACACCGTCGATGCAGAGCACCCTCCCCTGGAGACTGCCAGCCCCTGCCTGTTCACCAGGCCTGCGCCTGCCTGGACAGCCCAGTGCAAGTGGGCAGGAGGGCACTAGCCTCTGGATGGGCAGGGACAGGCCCAGAGTCCCGCCCCTACAGGGGTGCCATGGGAGGGCTGCGTGGAGGGAGAGGCCAGGCCTCTGACTCTGCTGTCACCCCCACCCCCAGTGCCATCTCCTCCATCCTGGGCACCTGGCTGGACCAGTACTCAGAGGACTTCTGCCAGCCCCCGGACTTTCCCTGCCTCAGGCAGCTGGTGGCCTATGTGCAGCTCAATGTGCCTGGCTCCGACCTGGAGCGCCGTGCGCACCTGCTTCTGGCTCAGCTGGAGCACGCAGAGCTTACAGCAGAGCTGGAGGGTGAGGAGAATGCGGCGGGGAGGGGGGGTTGTCAGTACTGGACACACAAGGAGGAGCCTCTAGAGGCTGCGGTGGGCCAGGAGCAAAGGCCTCAGACCACTCATGTGGTGGACTGTAGGTGGGGAAGACATCCTGGGCTGAGGCTTTTCTAGAAGGCAGTGGTGTGATTTTTGTCTTGGAAAAGCAGGCGTGTTGCTGAACTTTTCTCCTCTTACAGCTCTATCACCAGCTCCAGCACCAGCTCTAAAACCAGCTCCAGAGCTAGAGACAGCTCCAACACCAGCTCTAGCGCCCAGTCCTACGCTGACTTCAGAGCTAAAGCCAGCTCCAGTGCCAGCTGTAGTGCCCAGTCCTGTGCCTACTTCAGAACAAGAGCCAGCTCCAGCGCCAGCTCTAGTGCCCAGTCTAGCACCGTGTCTAGTGCCCAGTCCAGTGCTGACTTCAGAGCAAGAGCTAGTGCTGGCCCGAGAACTTGAGCCTACGCTTGAACCAGCTCCAGAGCGAGAGCCAGCACCAGCACCTCTTGCAACATCAACTCCAGAGCTGGACCCAGCTTTATCACAAACTCTAGAGCTAGAGTCAGCTCCAGCACCAGAGCCTTCCTGGCCTTTGCCTGTGGCTGCAGAGAATGGGCTGAGTGAGGAGAAGCCTCACCTCTTGGCATTCCCTCCCGACCTGGTGGCAGAGCAGTTTACCCTGATGGATGCGGTGAGCAACTCTTCTCAGCAGGCGGGCAGGGAGGGTGCACCTTCCTCTGGCATCTGCTGCCCACATATGCCATTCCCTGGTCCAGTGCTGATGTCCTGGCCCAAATCCCAGCTCCAACAGTGCAAACCGCTGAAGTGGGCAAGTTTCTTAACCCCAAGACCTCAGTTTCCCTGTGGACTGTGGAGCTGGGACCCTACCCCCATCCCATCTCTCTGCACAGTGACAGGATTAAATGAGGTGGAATAATAGAGAGCTAGGGGCCTGTTTGGTCAGGGAGGGGAGCTCCCCCCATCTGCCCAGGAGGCCTCACCAGCCTCAGCGCTTGTTAGGCTCCTGATGTGCCTGACTAAATGGCAGGCACCAGCCTGGCCTCTAGTTGCAGACCCATAGTGCATGAGCCTCTGGACAGGGACAGGCAGGCGTGTGATGGAGGCGCGGTGGCACCTGGTGTGTGCAGGTGGAGCCACTTTCTCGTGCTCAGAGGTAGTGAGGATGGGCTGGTGAAAATGCCAAACTTTCCTGCCAGCGTTTCATCCTGGGTCCCTCGTGCTGGCATCCACAGGGGCCAGGGAGCCAAACCCAGAGACACCCCCCCCCCAGTGCTCAGTCCATGTCCTCAGTTTCCAGGGCTCCAGCACTGACCAGGGCCTCTCCCTGGGCCTGAGGGAGACTGTGCGTGCTGAGCTGGGGTGTAGCAGAGCTGAGTGACACTCCCCTGCCCCCCAGGAGCTGTTCAAGAAGGTGGTGCCCTACCACTGCCTGGGCTCCATCTGGTCCCAACGGGACAAGAAGGGCAAGGAGCACCTGGCTCCCACCGTCCGTGCCACCGTCGCCCAGTTCAACAGTGTGGCCAACTGCGTCATCACCACCTGCCTCGGGGACCGGAGTGTGACGGCCCGGGACAGGGCCAGGGTGGTGGAGCACTGGATTGAGGTGGCCAGGGTAGGCCTTGGAAGGCCCCGGGGGACCCCTTTGCTGCCTTTACCCACTCACAGGGCTGTGGTCTGTGGTACAGGCCCTGCATAGACCCCTGGCCTTTCTGTTTCACGGGCTCGATGATCATGACTTGCACCCCCCCTGCCTGGGTGCTCACTCAGCTTCCTTCCTGGGCTGAGCTCAGGTCCCCCACCGCCACCCCGGAGTGTTACTCATCGGGGCCCAGGTCCCCTGGGGGTGGGGGCTCCAGGCATCTGTCTCATCCAGGAAGGGAGGTCCCAGCGGGGGGCCGGTGGGAATTCCAGCCCCGCCTTACACAGTCTCCTCCGCCACCAGGAGTGCCGGGTCCTCAAGAACTTCTCTTCGCTCTACGCCATCCTGTCCGCTCTGCAGAGCAACTCCATCCACCGGCTGAAGAAGACGTGGGAGGAAGTGTCCAGGTGGGCCGGCCTCCCTGTAGGAGCTCCACGGTGCCCCAGGGACCGCGCACAGGGCTGGGCCCTGTCCCATCAGTGAGCCTGCCACCTGCCAGGGCCCGCGGGTGGGTGGGGTTTCTAAGTGTCCATTGGCCTCCGGCCAGCAGTTCTGCCTCAGGACTCAGTTTCCTTATCTGTCAGGTACTGGATTGAGCCACATGAAGTCAAAACTGGTCACAACAGAGGCACTCAGTAGAAATGGGAATGGGACCCAGGTGACCCATATGAGAGCCCTCCCCACCCCCTACCCCCGCCAGGCCCACGGAGCCCTTAGGACCCCAGTGGAACCACCTCGCAGGCAGTTCGGGTCTTTGGGCTCTGTGATGAAATGGATTTGCGCTCATAGCCTCCCCCGTGCCCCAGGGACAGCTTGCGGGTCTTTCAGAAGCTGTCGGAGATTTTCTCCGATGAAAACAACTACTCGCTGAGCAGAGAGCTGCTTGTCAAGGTGAGAGGTGGGGCTGAGCTGCGCAGCAGGGGTTTCTTTGAAAACTTCCAGGTTTCTTTGAACTTTGGGGAGGGGGGACCTGTTTGGTCTGTGGGTAGGTGGGGGCAGTTTGGGGGACAGGAGGCCCAGGAACGGAATGGCTTGGGGATGGGTAGGCTTCTCTAGAAGGGGTGGGTGAGCTACAGGATTAGGTCTCCTGCTCCTGTGCAGTCTTCTCCCACTGGCACTCCAGCACCCTCCAGGCTGGTGGTGGATGGCGTGGGGGTGGGCAGGTCCCTGCCGTCCCTCCCAAAGAGGCTGCCCAGGCATGGGTCCAAATGACTAGACAGATCTGGGTGCATGTGGGCGCAAAGGGCAAAGGGAGGAAGTCCTCGCTCACCCTATGCTCAACCCTGGCAGGAGGGGACCTCCAAGTTTGCCACCCTGGAGATGAACCCCAAGAGAGCCCAGAAGCGGCCAAAGGAAACGGTTAGTGTGCCTGAGCCCCTGGAGAGGCAGGAGCTGGCCTCCAGAGCGCCCCCTCCTTGCTGCCATCTTGCCTGGCATGCCCCTTTAGACCTGGCCTCCTCTGAGCCCTGGCAGGGCTGTGCCCTGACCAGCTGGTGTCTTGGGGGACTAGTTAGAGCCACCAGAGCAAGGGCCTGGGGAGGGATTAAGGGGTGGAGAGGGCTGGAGACCATATCATCTTGGGGATTTGCAAAGTATCAGGCTTGGAAGGCTCTAGAAGGAGTTTGGGGTCAGTGAACACTAGGAGGGGGATTAGTGCCTAGGAGTCCCCAGGTCCCTCCAAGTGGGAGCCCTGGGGTTGGGGCTAGGGGCCGAGGCTGGGGGGTATCCAGGGGAGTGGCCATGGGCCTCACTTATCACCTCCCACCTAATGTCACAGGGTGTCATCCAGGGCACCATCCCCTACCTGGGAACATTCCTCACAGACCTGGTGATGCTGGACACTGCAATGAAGGACTACCTGTATGTGAGTGAGCTGGGAGCTTGGTGGGGCAGGGCCAGGGCCCTGAAGCCCAGGAGGACAGTGCCCCTTACTGAGCCCTGAGCTCCCAGCAGGGCACACCTCATCTCATGAGAGCCCTGGGCCCCTGTGTGTTGGGGCACCTGCCCATCTTACCAATGGGTAACCAGCTCACCAACTGGCTGGTGGGGCTCAGAGCTGCAGATTTTGGCCAAGCTGGACACAGCCCCTCCCTCAGGCAGTGCCCATGGGCGAGAGAGGCCAGACCCTTCAAGGTCAGGCACATGGTGTCTGAGCAGGGCCTCATCCAAGGCTTCAGTCCTCAGAGGGTTGGGTGATAAGGCACCCCCTCCAGCACCCAGCTCCCAGGACCCGCCCAGGGTCCAAGCTTGTGTGCATGCCCTGCCCCCTGGTGTATACTATCGGTAGTGCAGCCTGAGAGAGGTGCCACTTAGTCATGGGCATGGGGACACTTTCTAATAGACACTGGCTGTCTGCCTTCCAGGGGAGACTGATCAACTTCGAGAAGAGGAGGAAGGTGAGTAGCCACAGCCCTCACTCCAGAGGTGGAAATCAGAGATGCTGCCTGGGTAGAAGACTCTTGGTTCTGTCCCCCTTCTTGTTATATTGATGGGGAGAGTTGGGTACAGAATGGGGAAAAACCTCTCCCAGTAGAGGGTGGGGGCAGGAGGTCAGAATCAAGGACGATTTCCTGGGGAGGGGCTGTTTGAACCCAGCTCTGAGAATTGGGTCAGACCCGGGTGGGAACAGAGAAAAGGAAGGGACCCAGAGACTGGGCCCTGGCCTGCCCAGCACTTCACCAGGCCATCCCCATCCTGCCCTCTGGCCCCAGGAATTCGAAGTGATCGCCCAGATCAAGCTGCTCCAGTCTGCTTGCAACAATTACAGCATCGAGCCCGAGGAGCAGTTTGGGGCCTGGTTCCGGGCCACAGAGCGGCTCAGCGAGGCTGAGAGGTACGGCGGCCGGGGCAGGGATGGGGTGCGTCACAGGCGGGCCGTCCCTAGGCCAGCTCCAGAGAGCCTGTGGCATGGGCTCTTGGTCAGCACTGACCCTGTTGCCTGGTGAGATGGCTGGGTGTCCAGCCGCCGGCATATGCTGGGAGGGAGACCTGAGTGTGGCTCCTGGTAGCTCACAGCTACGGCTCTGTCCTGTAGCTACAACCTGTCGTGTGAGCTGGAGCCCCCCTCCGAGTCGGCCAGCAACACTCTGAAGGCCAAGAAGAACACAGCCATCGTCAAGCGCTGGAGCGAGTAGGTGCCCGCAAACAGGGACGGGGGCTGAGAACTGGCACTGACCAGCCCTGTGACTGGGGGAGTCACCTTACCTCTCTGGGCCTCAGTTTCCTCCCCTGAAACGGGGTGATGCTAAATTATGTCAGATGGCTGGAGCAAATGGGGTGCCTGGAGCAGAGTGCAGGGGACAGCATGGAGGTGGGATGTGTCCCAGGGGAGGCCTCCCCCAAGTAACCCAGCCCTTCCTTCAGCCGCCAGGCCCCCAGCACAGAGCTGAGCACCAGTGGCAGCTCGCACTCCAAGTCCTGTGACCAGCTCAGGTGTAGCCCCTACCTCAGCAGCGGGGACATTGCCGACGCACTGAGCGTCCACTCGGCCGGCTCCTCCAGCTCCGATGTGGAGGAGATCAACATGAGCTTTGTCCCGGAGTCCCCTGATGGGCAGGAAAAGAAGGTGACTGCCTCCCCCCACCAGCCTTTCATAGCCCCTCCCCTCCAGGTTCCCGTGTGCCCCCGCCACACCCACAAAAGAGGCCAGGAAGCCCCAGCTCCTAAACAAAGCCCCCAGAGCTGGACCCCAGCCTGGGGCGTCCTGCAGGGCTCAGGGCTTCTGCTGACCGTGCCGTCCCCACAGTTCTGGGAGTCGACCTCCCAGTCGTCCCCGGAGACCTCTGGCATCAGCTCGGCCTCCAGCAGCGCCTCCTCCTCCTCGGCCTCCACCACGCCCGTGGCCGGCACCCGCACCCACAAGCGCTCCGTCTCCGGGGTGAGCAGCTACAGTGCCTCACTGCCGCTCTACAACCAGCAGGTGGGCGACTGCTGCATCATCCGAGTCAGCCTGGACGTGGACAACGGCAACATGTACAAGAGCATCCTGGTGAGCGGCGGGCCCCTCGGTGCCCGCACTCTGCCAGGCAGCACAGGGGTCGGACACCTGCACCGTCCTGCCCTCCTGGGGCGGCCTTCCAGCGGGTCAGGGACAGACGTGAAGCCAGGGCTTGGTGGCGACTGGAGGGCAGTAGACGGAGTTTACATCACAGCCAGCAACCCGTCTGGGGGAGCACCAGGCCATGTCCCAAGGAGGGGGTGTGCCCAGGTGTTGGAGGGGCAGCGAGCAGGCCCGAGGTGAAGGGGCAAGGGTCAGGGGTAAGAGTCAAGGTCAGGGGAGTGTCAGGGGCCTGGATCTTGTCGGAAGGAGACAGGAGTCACTGGAGGTTGGAGCAGAGGAGGACAGCAGTGACCTGTGACTTTTGTCTCCGGAGGGGATGGCTGGGGCTGGGAGATGCAGGCAGGAGGGGTAGGAGGCTGCTGTTGTAATCCAGGCGAGGGAGCGGCGGCCGGCTGCGCCAGGCTGGTGGCAGTGGAGGGGGCCAGCAGTGTCAGGCCGTGCGTGTAAATTGAAGGTCAAGATCAAGCCAGCGGGATTGATCTGTGGGGTGGAGGGGACTTTCCTCATTCTCCAGAACTCGGCTGCAGATGAGCTGTTTGCTGCCCCCCATCGCCACCATACCCCACAACTGGGCCAGGTGCCCCGTGACACAGTCACCTGGATGACCCTGTATCTAAGGCCCACCTGCACTCCGGCCCTTGGGGTGGAGGCCGCAGGGGTCGGCCCCTGCTGACCACGACAGCAGCCTCCACTCAGTGTGGACCTGGCATGTCAGCAGCCCCAGGGCAGCCCGGGGCTCTCACCTCCAGGGCTTGCTCATTGATACTATTGACTCATTGATACTATTGCTGGAGGGGCAGTTGGTTTCCCCAGGTAGTGTGGGAGGAAGCAGCGGGCTTGCGGGAGAATGGGGAGTAGCAACAGTTGGGAAAGACTCCTCATGGTTGCAAGGAGGCCTCCCCGGGGGACGGGAGAAGATGGCAAGACCCCCACAGATCCAGCACCGGGCCAGAGGCTGTGAGCCCCAGTGCATGGTGCCAAGGTGGCCCCGAGGGTCCCTGGCTGCTGCATTCTGGGGGAGCTACTCTAGGACCCTTGTCATGATGGCCTGTTCCCCGCCCTGATCCAGGTTACGAGTCAAGACAAGGCTCCGGCTGTAATCCGCAAGGCCATGGACAAGCACCACCTGGATGGGGATGAGCCCGAGCACTATGAGCTGGTGCAGGTTATTTCAGACGAGCGAAGTAAGCTGGGGGCCAGTGGGGGTCACCATGGCGGGGTGGGGATAGCACCAGGCCCACAGCCCAGGACCCGCACCAGCAGGGGGCAGCACACCAACCTGCTCTGGGGCAGGGCTGGGCACTCCAGTGTCTCGTCCCTGCCCTCCTGGGCCTGGGGCATGAACCCAGTTCACGGCTGGAGTGGCGGGCAAAGGCCTTTCTCCTGGAGTAAAGCCGCCAGGTGGCCGAGCCCACGGGCCATTCAAAGGGGCCCTTTCTCGCTAGGGTGGGAATTGTGTGTGTCAGGAGAACTGCGACTGCTGTGGACTAAAGTACCAAGTATGTTAAAATCCACGGGCATGTGACACTGTCTTAGTCTGTTCCCACCAGTGTAACAAACCTCCACAGACTGGGAGGCTAATAAACAACAGAAATTTACTTTTCATAGTTCTGGAGGCTAGAAGTCCAAGATCAGGGTGCCAGCATGGTCGGCCAAGGGCCCTCTCCCGGGGTGCAGACCGCTGACTTCTGGCTGTGTCTGCACGTGGGGAAGGGCGAGCTCTCTGGGGTCTCTTATAAGGGCGCTAATCCCATTCACAGGGGCTCCACCCTCATGAACTCATCACCTCCCAAAAGCCCTACCTCCTGATCCCATTACCTTGGGAGTTAGGATTTCAACAGCAACTTTGAGGGGAGACAGACATTCAGCCCACAGCAGGGGCTGCTTGTGAGCAGCTCAGTATTCTAAACCCTGGGGAAGGAAGAGTCTTGTCGGCACAGACTCGGAGCCAGATGGCCAGGGCTCAGGACCTTGGGCAAGTTCCTTACGCCCTCTGTGTTCTCCAACAATGGAATAAAATAGCCAGAGTGTTTATGTACACGGGTGGGCAAAAGTAGGCTTACAGCTGTGAGTACACAGAACACAGAACTTATTCTTTCAATAAAAAGAATAATTTGTTAATTATTGTCTTATTTTTCATACAAACAACTGTAAGCCTACTTTGGCCCACCCCTGTATATGCTCATGGTACATACATGCGCCATAAAGGTTAACTGTAAGTGTCACCCCCACTTCCTCCCCACTGAGCTGGTCGCCCACCATGGCCCCAGACCATTGGTAATGATGCCCCCACAATCCCTAGAAGCTGGTTTTTAAATCCTCTCTCACTGTCTTGCATCATCTTAGTGAGGTGGGCAGGGCAGGTGGGACCCATGCTACCAAAAAGGAACAACGAAGCCGACACAGCTTAAGGACCGGGAGGGAGAGCCACGTGATAGAGCCGCACAGGTTCCAGCCCTGCAGCCCCCGGGGGGCGGGTGGAAAACAGGAGCCAAGTGTCAGGACCTGTGGGTGCCCAGCACCCAAGCAGCACGCAGGCCTGCCCTTCACTGGGCCCAGAGCTCTTGTCCTGAGCAGGGTGGGATTCGGTGGCGGGAGGGTGGTCTGGGGCCTGCAGAACCTATTCCTGCTTGAGACCCTGGTCAGCGATGGCAGTGGGGGCAAGGAGGCGGTATGGGTGCCAGCCCCAGAGGGGGACTCGTGGAGTCAGATCCCTTGTCAGCAGGAGTCCTTTAGGGTTCATCATGCCTCCGCAGTCTCCTTGGGCCAGTGTCATTAAGAGGGGTCCTTGGGGACCCTGGAGTTGGGTTGGGGTCTTGGTCCTTGGCTCAGGCCTGCCCTGGGGCCTCTCATACCGACCATCCCTCTTCCCTTCCCCCATCAGAGCTGAAGATCCCTGACAACGCCAATGTGTTCTATGCCATGAACTCTACTGCCAACTATGACTTTGTCCTAAAGAAACGGACCTTCACCAAGGGGGCAAAGGTCAGGCACGGAGCCAGCTCCACCCTCCCCCGCATGAAGCAGAAGGGACTCAAGATTGCCAAGGGCATCTTCTAGCCGGTCCCTCGTGCTGGCCCAGCCTCAGGACTGCCCTTTCCAGGGTCAGGCTGGCCGGGCAACGAAGCACTTGCTGACGAGAGTGGCCCAGGCCAGGCAGGCACCTTCCGCCCAGCCTGCCAGCCCAGGCCACCCCCAGACTCCAGTGTCTCCCTGGACCTCTCCCGCCGCCGGGATTGACGCCTGCCCATCAACGGGCTGACCTGGCCTCCCGTGGACCACTCGCCGCCTTAGGTGCCTTCTGCTCTCTGGAATCAGAGGACTAGTGGACTTTGCCAAGGAGCGCTGCCAAGGGGCACGCCCGCACTACACCTCCCTCACGCCGTCCCAGGTGTGGGTCACTGCCGTCTGTGCCCACAGCACCCCAGGGCACCCACTCATCCACTGGATCTGACCACTGCAGTTCACTCCTCCCGCCCATGGACACCAGCCGTGCCATTCAGTGGGGTCCTGGCCCCCTCCCACCACTCTAGCCTTCCTCGGGCTGCACCAAAGATCCCATCGTCAGGGCCAACCGAGTGAGGGAGTTCTGCGCCCCCAGCCCGCTGGCTCTCGGAGAGGAGAGACCCTCTTCGTGGACCTCTCTTCACAGGTGACTGAGGACTGTCCCAGCCAAGTCCCCTTGACGTCACAGCTCACGACACTGCAAGTGCCATTCGCCACTGCATCCTGGGCTTCACGAGACCGCACCGGACAGGGTCCATGGGAAAGGAGGGTTGGGGGGAGGGGAGGGGGTTGAATATTTGTATAAAAGGCAAAAATCATGTTTACTGGTTGGGGAGGGGCAATATTTATTTGTTGTAAATAGTAAATGCTAGACTTATGATATTAAATCCCTGTTTCTACTATAGACCGGGAAGGGCGCTTTTGTTCATCCATCTCGTGCTCACTTAAACGACATGCAGACGCCCGCAGTCTGTTCAGGGGGAGCCGTGCGGGGCTGTGGGTTCACTCTGCAGGAGAAGCAGAAGGGCCGGCGCCCCCCATCTCTGGCTCCTACGGAAATGCCTGGTTCCACCTTCCACAGGGCGCCTGGCGACTTGAGCATCATGAACCTGGGCAGGGAGCTGAGACAGCCCTCGGCACCCCAGCATTAGAGGTCGGAGGTGCTCTCACAGGGCCTGGCAACCACCTCAGAAATTTGGGTGTTGTTAAAAATTACATTTGTGACAGAAAACGTTGGAGTAAGAAGCTCCAGGGGTCATGTCTCCATGGAAACAGCCATTAAGCTGGGGAGAAAAACCTGCTAGAATCGTCAAATTTGGGCTCTGGAACCTCATCAGACAACAGCCAGGGCGGCTGGACAGACACGAGGTGGGGACGTCTCACTGACTGCAGAGACCAGGGAACAGAAACCAGGGACGATACACAAGAAATGCAGGTTTTGCAAAAATCGTTTGGAAAAGTTACTATAGAAACGGAGGGCTGCATCCCCTGGCCAGTAATAAAGGGATCCCCGGGGAGGGGGGGGCGCCTGGTCTCAGAGTCCCCACTTGTAATGCTCAATACCCAGTTCTCCACAAATTACAAAGCACAGGAGACCAGGGCTCATTCCCAGGGGGAGAAAAATAGACAGACTCTCCCAGACATTGAAACTACTGACCAGGGTCCCGTGCTCAGGGCCCTCGGTGCGGTGTTACTAACGGCTTTATAGATATGAGAAGGATTATAAGAGCCCTGAGCACAATTCTGTGTCAACATCACGCACAGGAATGTTGTTCAGCCACAAAGGGGAGTGGAGTTCCGATCCCTGCCACAACAGGGACGGCCCCTGAAAACATGGTTCCACTTACAAGGAATAGCTAGTCCTGGCCGGGGGCTCAGTTGGTTGGAGTGTCATCCGGTGCACCGGAAGGTCGTGGGTTCGATTTCTGGTCAGGGCGCATACCTGGGTTGCCGGTTCACTCCCTGGTCAGGGAGCATGTGGGAGGCAATCGGTCAAGGTATCTCTCATGCCGATGTCTCTCCCTCTCTCCCTTCCTACCTGGAAATAAAAAAAGAAAAGATACCTAAAATAGGCACATTGAGACAGGAAGGCGATTAGCAGGAGTGGGGGGCAGGGAGTTACTGCTGAATGTTTTGGAACTAGATAGTGGTGGCGATGGTTGTGCAATAGTGTGAATGCAATTAAGGTCAATGGGTTGTACTCTTAGAAATAGTTCAATTACCGTATTTTATGTTATGTATATTTTACCCCAATTTTTAAAAAATAACAGTTGCAAGGACGAATTCCCGACCCGAGACGGGGCTGCCTTTCCCTGGAAGAAGAGGGAAGACTTTGGGTTGGCTCGTGGTTTCTGTCGCCCAGCAGTGAGGAATTTGTAGGCTTGAAGTTCGAATGGAGCCCATCAGCGCTGCGTGGGGGCATCGTAAACAGACCGAAGCCTGCAATGTGGGAAGGAAGAGTGGGGGAGAGTACTGGCCAGGGCCCTCTGTCGGGTGGACTTAGCATTCGCAATTCTCTAGGGGTCCCCCCGCCCGTCCTTTGCCTGGAGAGGGATCCTCCGGGAATCCTGTCTCTGTCCTCAGAATTTCTCCCCGGGCCGGGATTGTGTGCAGGGAAAATATTTGTGATGCGGCTTTTAAGGCTACAGCTGGGCCTCGTTCCGCATGAATCTGCGCCCTGTGAACTAGGGCCTGCAGCATCCCTGCAGCTCTTCATGCAATTAATTTCACCCAGCCACGCATGCGCCGAGTCCCTCCCTCCCCCCTCCCCCTGCCCCTGCCGGGCACCGCGGGCCACGCATCCCCTCAGGTCTGATGAATCCCGGGTGAGTGTGGGTTTGCCGGGATAAAGGTGCTGATTCCCGCCCGTGAGAACCTCCCCCCACTCCACACTCTTCCTCTGGCCAAGATGAATCCAGGGCCGTGAGGTTCTGAGGTCCACCGTCTCAGGCAGTCACCAGGTTAGGGTCACTCGTCCTAAAGGGTGGATGGGCTGGAGCCCTTAGCGCTTGCAGCCCCCTGGGATGACTGCGTTCTTTGTCCAAGTCTGTGCTTTGGTTATGTCACTGGGAGGTGGGCAGTTTGAAACATTTTCGGGGGGAAGGTTGAAAGATGTGGCATGAAGGGCGGGGGAGAAATGCCACCAAGGCTGCCCACCCATGGGCACAGCCTCTCCAAGGAAATACTGGACCGTGTCCATCAGGGTGGTAAGCAGACGCCGTCCTGAGCTCACCCAGGGCTCCGCCGTGATCAGAGCTAAAGGGGAACACCTGGCCCAGTGGGAGCCTCCAGGGCCCTCAACGGCCTCCAGCCTGCGTCTGGGTATTTTCAACGTCAACCCTGGGAAGCAGCCTGTAAAGGCAGAGCCAGACGAACTGTGGACCAACCTGAATTATCCCAATGCCTATAGGTGTCCCCCAGACACAGGGCTCAGACGACTTGCCTCTGCCAGGGAGGCCTCCGTGCAGCCCAGGGTGGAGCATACAACTGGGTCCCGGCAGCCCCAGCTACTCTGACGTGGTCTAGCCATCCAGGGACGTGACTTCCTGAATGACAGACGGGACTATGCTTTCCCCAACGAGAGAGAGAAGTGCCACGTCCCAGGGCCCCTCCAGGGCCCAGAGGAGGCCCTGGGGTCCGAGAGGTCTCTCTTGCAGCGCAGGAGGCTTCAGAGAGCCGACCGGGCAGGTGGAAACACTTGGGGGAGTCGTGTGCATGTTAAGGTGGCAGAGGACCGGCACACTGGGGCATCCTTGGGCCTCCACTGGCTGGGAGCAGGGCCAGTCCCAGGAGGGGCCCACACACAGTGAGAGGCCATTTCCCTCAGCCTTTGGTGAACCCCCTCTTCACACTTGAGAGCCCTTGACCCAGCCAGGAAGCCCAGGGCAGTCAAGGTGGTCACAGGCCAGCCCGAGCGCCCCTGCCTGCCTCCCCCGCTCCCCAGGGGGTCAGGTCTGCCTCTGCACAGGGCCACAGGGCTCCGCTCCCCAGGCTCAGGCTCCCATCTGTGGGCCGGGGAGGGAGAGCGCTACACACACACCTGTCAGGAACCTTCCCCTCTGAGCCTCACCCCTGCGCACAGCGACTAAGGAGTGCGGGAGGGGAGGAAAGGCACTCCCCACCCACCCACCGGTGTCATGAGCTTCGGAGTCTCAGGCCTGGGTTTGAATCCTTGCTCTGATGGCCCGGGGCACGTGACCCCCCCTTGGGGTCCTTGTTTCCCTCAAAATACCTATAACTGTCTAAAATGGGGGTGTTCACAGCGCCCACCTTGCTCACGGAGCCATGGTGAGGCCGGGGTGGTTGAGCCCTCGGTGTGGTAGGTGCCCATGGTCCTGAGTCTGACCTCTGCCTCCCGCTCCCCCTCTGGCACCGCCCATGGCCCCTGCCGGTGGGCACCCACCGCCCAGCCCTCTGTGCCCTTTGTGCTGACAGTCCAGCGGGATGCTTTATTCTCTCCTTGACTAGGATCCAGGTGGAGGCAGAATCCGCTTCCCAGGCCAGGCCAGTTCCCCAGACCCCAGTCAGAACAGAGGCCGCTCCCCACACCCCAGGAGACGGGGCCGTGGCTGGGCTCCACGGGTCCAGGGGAGGCCATCGCCCACAGGGCAGGGCTCCCCACTCAGGTGTGGCAGAGCCTGGCCCCTCAAGCCAGCAGCCTGGTGGGGAGGGACACACACCTGAGTCCCAGCCCTGGCTGCGACACTTCTCTGACCCCGTTTCCTCCTCTGAAGCGAGGGTGGCACTCCACTGCTGAGCTGGACCCTGACAGGGACCGCCGGCAACAGATCATGAGGGTAAAGAACGATGCCAGAGACAGGAGAGGCTTTATTCAGGAAGAGCTCAGGGGGGAGGTGGGCTCCTGGGGGGCCCACCCTGTGGACTCTTGGGGCCAAGGACATTAGAAGCCGATGGCTGCAGGCATCTGAGCCCCCTCAGAGTCACCAGCGGGGGGCTCAGGGGCAGCCTCAGAGTCGTCTGTGGGAGGCACAGGGGTGGGCTCAGAGTCGGCCGTTGGGGGCACAGGGGTGGGCTCAGAGTCGTCTGTGGGGGGCATGGGGGCAGCCTCATCTCCCACCACTGTGGGCAGTGTCTGGTAGGTCTGGGTCCAGTAGCGCAAGTAGTTGCTCCTGAGGTGCTGTTTCATGGACGTGCCATCCATCATCTTGTTAATCTCCAGGTAGTTGCCATTTTCCTCGGTGTAGGGATCCCATTGCGTGGGCACAGCTGAGTGGCCCGTGTTGGGGTCCCTGCAGAGTGAAAAAAAGGCTGTGTGGGGGCTGGGGGCTCACAGGAGGCTGGCAACCTGTGCCCTGGCCTGGCTTGGCCCCGGCTTGCCTGGGCAGTCCTCTGCCCTACGTGCTGACCCGAACCATCCGGGCACCTCACTGTATCCCGGGCACTGGCTGGGCACGTGCACATCCTGGGGCCCAGCCAGGAGCTCTTATCCTCGTACAAGGATGGGGAGACTGAGGCTCGGGGAGGTTAAGTGTGAGGGGACCGGAACTGGAACCCGGGCCTGTAAGGCCAAGGTGGCAGGAGCCCTGGCCCAACCTCACCCCCGCCTTACCCAGTTCTGGCAAAGTTGGTCCAGTAGGCGATCATGGCCTGGGAGACAGTTCTGTCTTGGGCCCGGTAGCCCAGGGGCGTGGCGAAGGGCTTCCCAAAGATGTACTGGAGGTCGTCGGCGTGGTCGGCCCCTACCCAGCTGGGGTAGATGGGCATCCGAGAGGGGTGGGAGAACAGGTAGGCGTAGGTCTTGGCACTCCTGAGGAGGGGAGGGGAAGCCGCCCAGGTTGGCAGGGCGCTCTCCTGGCTGCCCAGCCCACATGGGTCCCGGAGGAGGCCGGGGTGTGGGGAGCAGGGAAGGGCCGGGAATTCGCCCAGACTCGGGAAGAACCTGGGACCCTGTGCCTGGGGAAGGGAAAGCGTGGGTTTGTGGGGTCTACGATTTTAAGTGCATTTATGCTTCACCGCCACGGAACGCACTGAGGGGTCTCCCGCCTACAATTCGGTACCAAGGCAGATTTTTTTTCTGCAAATGAGTTTCTCTTCTTCATTTGATGGGACAGGCACGTGCCCTCAGACACACCGGCAGGACGCTCAGAGCTGAATTTATCGCTTCGCCGCTGCAAAGCTTTCATCCTAGACTTCTAGGTATCGCTTAGCCCCCCACATTTCAAGCGCTCCTCATTTACGTTTCCTTCTCATTGGCTCTCATTTGTGGAGGTTTCCAGTGTGGCCACAGGCCAAAGTTGTTTTGAATGTTGGCAAAATCGAAACCCACAACAGAGCCCATCAGCCTGTGTCCTGTCCTCCCAGCAGGGGGCGGGGGACACACACGGGAGGCAGACTGAAGGTGCTGCGGGGCGAGGCCTGTGGCCTGAGGGAGGGTCTTGTAAAGCCCCCTGAGGCTGGAAGGTGAGGAGGGGCCTTCTCAAGCCTTGTCGGGCCCGGGCAAAGCAGATGGCACCGGCGGGGACCCAATCATGGCTTTCCCAGGCCTCCCAGGCGCCCCACGAGCCACCCACTGGTGAGGCCTCGGTGGGCAGGTGCCTGACCCCGGGTGGGCAACCCCTTGCCCAGGTCCTCACTTGGCTTTGGCTTTGTGCTGAGCCAGGGCCATCTCCGTGGGCATGAGGAAGAGGACATCAGTCTCAAACTCCACTACCGTCTTCTTCTTGGTCTCCTGGGATGAGTCTTGGGCCCAGGACGCAGTGTACATGTCAAAGGTGGTGTTGGCACCCCTGAGCCCCTTGATGATGGTGAGCCCTCTGATCAGCTTGAAGAAGTCCTCCCTGCAGGAACCAAGTCGGCACTGGACCCTCCACCCAGGGCCAGGGGGATGGGGTCCCCCCCACCCCCGGAGGGCTGCAGGTGGCCCTCTGCACATGCTGACCTCCTCACTCGGCTGAGGCCTCCCCCGGCGGCCCTCGGGCGCTACCCTGGGCCCTGGGCCCTACTTACTCCGTGACATCCTGCTTGTCCTTGTCGATGGCCGGCATATCAACACTGGCAAAGATGTGACCATCCATGCTGTTGGTGCCAGCGATGTAGTCGATGTCGGCCGCGTTGGCAAACAGGTTCATGGGGTCGTCGGGGATGAAGTCTCCGTCAACGACAGGGACGAAGCCCAGATAGTTCACCATGGGGTCTGTACGGAGGCAGCAGGTCCTCGCACCTTCCAGAGCCCACCCGCTGGTCCCCACGCCGAGGTGGAGGGCCCTGCCTCTCTGATGGAGACCAGGGTCCTCAGCCTATCCCTCTGACACTGGGGCAGGATAATTTTATGTCGTGGGGCCACCCTGCGGGTGTGGAGCAGCATTTCTGGCCAGGACCCGCTGGGTGCCAGCAGCACCCCATCCCCAGTGTGACAGCCAGACTGTCTCCAGACTGCCACATGATCCCTGGGGGCCAAACCACCCAGGCTGAGCACCACTAGGCTGGAGACCAAGTCTGTCCCCTCACAGAGTGGACATCCCTGTCCTCTCCCTCTCTTCTTGCTCAGCCAAAATCAGGAGGAGGGAGACTGAGAGCAATTGAGCCGGTGGAGAAAGGGAGGGCTTTGTTCTAGTCTGGTAGCCAGACACTGCCAGGTCCGCACTGCCCCCCAGACCCCTGAACTGACCCCGAAAGGACCATACTCTGGCTCCAGGCCCGTGGACTTGCTGCCTTGGTCAGGCCCAGCCCAGTTTTCCTCCAGTTCAAGAAATGGTTGATTTGCATTTGGGGCCATATTGTTTGCTCTGGTTCGGTCCTGCCTGGCACTGTGGCTAATGCACAATGGGTGAGACGCAAATGAGGGGCCTCCTGTACTTGGCCTTGGAAGAACTAGCGAGAGAAAACAGCAGCCTGCTGAGCTGATGAGGCTGCCACTCCGAGGCTCTTTCTGACAGGGTCCCTGCCGTCCTGGGGACAGAGCCGCAGAGCTGGAAGGGCCAAATTCTACAGCAGGTGCTCAGTGTGTGTGTGGAATCAATGAGTGGAAGAAAGAATGAACTGTCGTCTAGTACAAAGGCTCTCCGTCTGGGGTCCCTAAAATTGTGTGCGAATGACCGTGTACATGTGCATTTTGGGGGGTGGGCCCAAATGTTCATCGGCTTCCCACAGGAGTCATGACCCAGGGAAGATAAGAGGAAAGAATGGCCCTTCCTCCCAGCCAGCCGGGGCCACAGAGTCTTGCAAGGGCAGGGATGGCATGGGGCTGTCTAGGGCTGCCAGCGAGCTGGTGACAGGGCCAGGCCTCGGACCCAACACTTCCCCTCTTCTTTAGGAGCATGGCCCTCCCTCCACACAGGGCCCCCACTCACGCTCCAGGCCTGCCAGTGGCATCTTATAGGCCAGGGTCAGGGCACGGGTGTCGGTAATCTTCAGACACTTGGCCATCCTGGCAGTATCGTCCAGGGGGCAGCCCACCTTTTTGGCGATCTGGGGGTTGGGGGGAGACAGATAGATGAGGCCAGTGCTGGGACAGAGGGTGATAGGGAACTGGGGTATGGGACAGAGAGAGGAAGGGAGGAAATCTCTTCTGGCATCTAAACCAAGCCCCTCCCTCACCCTCCGCGGCTCCTCTTTACCTGTTTGGCCCAGGACAGAGGGTTCTTCTGGATGGACCAGGAGCTCAGTGCCACGCCGCTCTGGCTGATGGCTCGCCGGATGAGGCCCTTGTTGTAGGGAGAGAGGGTCTGCAACACACAGAGGTCCTGTCACTGGTGCCTCACCTTACCTGCCCGCCCTGGGCTCTGCCAAGGACAGCCAGAATGCCAGCTCCAGCCCTGCTCCTCCCAGCCCCCATCAGCTCCTTCCAACACCGTTGGAGGTAGGCCCACCCCTCCTACGGTCCCCAGACCTGCAGAGAGACGCTGGCACCTCCGGCTGATTCCCCAAAGATGGTGATGTTGTTGGGGTCCCCCCCGAAGGCCGCAATATTTCTCTTCACCCAGGCGATGGCCATGTGCTGGTCCCGAAGGCCGTAGTTACCTGGGGCGGGGTGGGGAGG